AAAAAAAAAAAAAAAAAAAAAAAAAAAAAAAAAAACCTAGAGGGGCCTTTGTGAAAACGGGAATATCCAAGGGCTTTTACCGTATATGATGAAATAAAAATGAAAATAATAAAATTAATTATTATAATTTTATTATTTGATGAACCATTGCTCCATAATAATTGGTAGCGTGAGTGTAAGACATAACAAATGAACAAAATGAATATAACTAACAATGACAAAATATTTATATATTCTACAACATTATCATATAAAAGATTATATTGAAACGTTATAAACGTTTAAATATATTTTAGACTATTTCAAGGTGTTTCATCATATTCTTAACAAATAAAACTTAATTATCATCGTACAAGGAATAAGAAGGCAAACGGACAACAAATTGAGCCGTTAAACCTTTTTGTAATCACACACTCCATTAAAAATAGACAAATCTTCAAAAATAGTCCTTGTGGTTTCCAAAAATATCAAGTTTAGTCCCTAAATTCAAAAAACCTCACAGATGGTCCTTGTGGTTTCAAAACTTTTAACAAATGGTCATTTTCGCTAACTCCGTTAGCTTTTGGCCGTTAAGTGAAGGACATTTCTGTCATTTCACTATCACAGGGACCATTTATAAAGTTTTTGCCTTATTTAAAAAAAAGAAAAAAAATATAATTATTTAATATTAAAGGGTCTCTCTCTCTCTCTCTCTCTCTCTCTCCTGGTCGGTCTTCCTTCCTTGAAATCGCAACCCTCATTCCCGATTCTCAACCCTAAGAGAACACAAATCAATAATCAACAAACCAAAACCCAAATCTATCACCAATAAATTGCTTATCCCCCTGGAATCTACTCAGAAATCTGCAAACATACGAAGGAAGACATTTCGATTGTTCGTGGTGGTTATTTCTATTTGTTAAGAAATCAATTCCACCGCCGGGAGATCCATTGTCGTTGTTGTGGTTGCCAGAATCTTTCTTGACGTCGAACGCCATCTTGTTGTTATGCATCCAGACTTTGAAAACCCCTTTATCGACCCCAATTTCGTTGCAGAATCTGATTATTAAGTCTTCGTCTCGCTTATGCATCTTCCATCCGACTCGTTCAGCTAATTCGTGCATCTTTTCTTTCTGATCTTGAGTGAATTTTGTTCGGAA